ATACTTCATCAAAAAAAAAAAAAAAAAAAAAAAAGATAAGTAAATAAAATTAAAATAAACAAATAAATGTTGACATTAATATTTAGTACATGAAAAGGTACATGGTACCAGACCCTTTGCTAAATGCTATACATTCATAGTAGGTTGAATCTTCACAATATCCATATGCTGGAGCTTTCCGGAACAAGAACCTAAGGCTCAGGGACGCTAGGTCACACGGTCAGGAAGCAGCAGAACGGAGATCCAAACCCAAGCAGCCCAGCGCCAGAGCACTCCTTTCAAACCCTCCTGTCCCCACCAGGGCCAGGGGCTTGCACCCACCTTGGGAGAGGTGATCTTGATGTAAACAATGATGGGGGCCAGCGAGGTCTTGGAGAGCTGGGCCGGGTGGTTAATGGTGTCAGCATCCAGAGCGACCAGCTGAAGGGTCCGAGCCAGCTCAAAGATTCGCTCGATCTCACTCTGTACCTCAGCTGGGGGGCAGGAAGTCGTGAGGAGGGGGAATGTAAGCAGCCCCTCAAGGCGGTAGGTGAGGGGAATGCTTCTGGAGAAGGGCCCAGCCACCCCTTGCCTCCCTTCCGGCCCGGAAACGGGGAGTGAAAGGGCAGGGCCTCTCACCCAGGCTGGAGCGCGTGTTGGAACGCTCGATGATGATGTGTTTGCTGGGGTTATTGAGGACGGAGCGCTTAGCCAGGGATATGTCCGCCGTCACTCGAGTGATGGAGATCCTGGGGGCAGGGCAGGGGCAGTCCGGGGTCAGGATGGGCTGGGATGGCCTGCCCACTCCCCAGGCTCCAGGCCTGCCTCCTGGCCCTGTCCCAGGCGCCCTGCCCTCCCATGGTGGGAGCGGAAGCCAGCTGCTGGGGCCTTACCTGCCATCAAAGCGATGCTTCAAGAAGTCAAATAAAGCTTTCTGCATCATGTCTGTAACCTGGGATCGGGGTTTGAGGGGGAGAAGTCAGGCATTTCAAACCACTCAGGAGCTGGGCTGCCAGAGATACCCTCACGTTCATTCCACTTCCCTCGGCAATTCCTGAGTGACTGGGCCTCTGTGGGGGCAGCAGGGTGGTTCCTCCCAGCTCTGAGGGGCCTCCAATGCAGTCTCTGATTCCAAAGGTCCTTCTAGGTGGTTCTCTGGGAGGGCTCTTCTGGGGGTTTCTTTCAGGAACTGGGTCCTTCTGAGGGAGTCTCCCTGTGGGTCAATGCCCTCTAGGGTTTTCTCTGAAAGTCTGTAGCCCTCTGGCATGGGCACTTCTGGGGGGGGGGGGGTTCTCAGGAATCTGGGTCCCTCTGAATCCGCTGCCCTCTGGGGGCTCCTACCTCATAGCCCTTGAGCGACGGTCCCACCAGGATGATGGGCCTCATGGAAGGCACCACGTCATAGGGGGGCACATGCTCTGTCTGGGGGGGGAAGCAGGGAGGGGAAACCCCAAGTGGAGATGGCATTAGCCCCTCTGCCCCAGACTCCAGCTCCCCCATGCATCCTTTCCCCTCCCAGTTCCAGAGCCCAGGGTAAGAGTCAGGGGATGGCCAGGCAGAACCAGGGAGGGTAGGGGAAATGGGAATGGGTATTAGAAGGTCCCCTTAGCTCACTCCAGGGGGCCGGGAGGGGGACACAGAAAGCTGTGATACTCACCGACTTCTGCTTCTGTTTGGCTGGGTCCAGATTGCCAAGAGAGGGGAAGGGGAAGAGAGAGGGGAGGGTACCCAGGCAGGGGCAGAGGGTAAGGAAGGAGCTAGGACAAGAGGGAGAGGAAGA